CATGGCTGGCTGGGGAATTCTGGGAGTTGAAGTCCACTCATCTTAAAGTGGCCAAGTTTGGACAACACTGCTTTACAGGGACTGCAAAGATGATTCCAGGACAGTTCTCCCAATCATGCCACAGCTTCCAACGGCTGACAAGCAAGATTAACTTTTTCTAAGATTTTTATTTCCCCGGTCTGCAAAACTGCCAATCACTTGGCTGTTTTTGAATGATCCGTTCACTGATTTCACAATTTGAGTTCCTATTGAATTTGCCTAAAGATCCTGGACAGCAGGGCGGCGGGGTGGAGAAATCTGTGGCCATCGAGTCCCTTCTGGTGGCATTCCCCCCCCTTCCACAATCAAGGCTGCAGAAAACACACAGCACAACTTCACTGCATTTTGCACATAATGGAACATATGCTATAAAACATAACCCGAGCCCTACAATATGCCTGTCACTGTTCAAAAGGCAAAAAAGCCCCCCCACATTCAACCCCACCCACATTTATGAAGTTCATTCCAGGATCTCCAGCCCCCTCCCCACATTCAGGGTGCAATGAGCAATCCCTGCTTAGCAAGCATTGAGTTTCCGTTGATGCGGGAAATGAAACTTGTCAGAAAGCAGATCACGGATGGGAAGAATCACCTGGGTGAATGCGTGTGGCCAGAAGCTGAGCGCCCTGGCCCAAAATCTCGGCCCCCGTAGAGATGCCAGACCACTGAAATTTCCCGCATCATGACTCGGCTCTCGGGCACCGGGAAGTGCGATGGGGCTTTCAATAAATCCGTGCTGCCCAGGGGCCGGGAGAAATGCCCCTCCTGGATGTGGACAGGCCCTTCCAAAAGCTTTGTCACCACCGGTTCTCCATCCCGAGGCTGCAGAGACAAAAGTGCAACCTCTGTCAGGGGTGCATGAAAAAAGCTTTTTTTCTGACGGAGCTGGGAAAACACCGGGACTGCATCGACTCCCTGCTCAATCTGGTCCATCTCAATTTTCTTCCTTTTTTCGGGGGAGTCATGATTCAAATCCCTGCAGCTCACTGACAGTTTGGAGTTTAGATGTGACGGCTTTGCTTAGTGGCACAGAAATGTTCCTCCTGGCATTTCTGCTCTTGCAACTAAGAGAAGCCACGCACATCGCTTTCCCGCTCCGTCTTCCTTCACAGTCACCCTGCGAGGTAGGCAGGAGAGTGAGGGAGTGAGGCAGCTGAGCGAGTTTCATGGAAATTTCAAGCTCGTTTGCTGGATGTGCAACTTTTCCCAATGAGATGCTTTCCAAATGCACAGGGAGGACAGTTGGGAGACCCAGCCGCCAGCTGCTCTGGCTAGTAATTTGGAAAACGGTGATCCCAACACATCTGGAAGGCACCGCCTCGGCGCAGGAAATTCAGCACTATCCCACAACATTTGCACAGGAACGCACTTGGCTCAGCGAAGATGGCATTGGACAGTTTGGAGTCCAGAACCAGGCCGTTTCCTTAAACCAAAGCGTGGCTTCTTTGGGCAACATGTAACGTCAATACAGCAACTGTAGGCTGTTAACTTGGATTTGGGGTTGAGCGTGCTGTCTGAACGCTGCGACCGGCTGTCTTCTGAGAAGTTCAGAAGAGGCTGGGTTGCGATTGTCCAAAAACGTGCTAAAGGAGACACAAAGAGGGCCAAGTCCTTACCGGGATGCCTGTTCCTGGAGCATCCAAGATGCAGAAATCATCGGTGGCCTCGCTCTCGCCTTCGCTGTCTTCCGAAGGGCTGAAATCAAGCCCCTCGCTCACTGGGATCAGTGGGGGGGCCGGGGCCTTCCCCTGGCCCGCTGCTCCGTTCTCGCCAGGGAAGAGATACACCGAGACCGGCGAAGGCTGCCGCCGCATCCCAGAGTCACCTGGGAAAGAGTATTTCGAGCGTATTGAGCTGCTGCGTTCACACAACCTGCGTGTGGGCCAATTCTCTTCGTTTTAACCTGGCTTCGGTTTTTTGCAGCTCAGCATTGGGTGGAACCCAGCCTGCTGGATTTGTTCCATGTGTTATACAGACCCAGAAAATGGGTTCACTCAGCCAAGTTAAGCCCGGCTAGGTGGTAGCACCGTGCCGATCCTGGCTGATTCAAACAGCCTGGTTACCCCTTGGATGGGAGACGCCAAACAGTCTGAGAGTGGGGAGAGAGATCGGGAAATCAAACACTTGGAAGCTTCCTCTCAATTGTTTAAACTGATTCCAAATGGCAATGCCACCGCCGTTATGAAGGGTTGCCTGTGGGCAAGCTAAAATCTGGCCTCCCGGCTTCGCACCAGTCTCACCGGCCACTTCCTGGGGGCTGCGCTCCGTGTCTATCAGGGCATCGGTGAGGTCCCGCTGGTTGATCGCTGCCGTCTCAGCTGGGGGACATGCGGGCAGAGAAGCAGGGCTTTCGGATAACTAGCGGAGGATAAGAGCAACACTGAGGATGCAGCAAAGGGAAGGGAAGGGAGAGGGAAGGAGGGACGTTCTTTGAGGCGGCTCCCCTCCAACCCAAAGGGATCCTCCTTCAACCCTGGACATCTGCCACCGAGGGAGGGGAGGGAAGGGCACGCCCCTCCATCTTGGCTCG